GTTATTATAGTTTGTAAGAGGTTGCACTTCAAGGCTCAAACAACCTTACGTGGCCCAATGAAAGGGGAAGTGTTGGTCGGAGAGTGCAGGAGGCGAGTTCCCTTAGCATTGCTCTTTTTTATAAACAACTTATTAGAAATGACATCTCTTTAATACTCTGTTTAATATGTTGGTCATTTTTTATTTATCTTAAAATTGTGGATAAGTTATCATTGTTTGTTATATTTTTTATTCTGTATAAGAAATAAATTTAACGGCATTACTGTTAAACTTTAGGAAATTCATCAATGGACAAAATTGTTGAGAAATTTGAGAATTATGTAGACCACTGCAGAAAACTTGAAGAAGATCTGAATGAGTTAGAAAGCGAATGTCAGGTTCTAAAGAGGAGAAAAACTGACGTTAATTCAAGAATACAAGTAGAGGTTCACTCGGGCCAAGTGGTCAAAGAAGAAGTAAAGGGATGGCTTGAAGATGTTCGAAAGATCGAACAAGACATACAAGATGTTAAAGAAAGAGCAATCACAGTTCCATACTACAAACGTGCCAGTCTTGATGAAGATGTGCATAAAAAAATTGAAGAGGTGAAGAGGATTCAAGAGAGGGGCAATTTCAAAGGAGGCCTTGGGATTGAGAGAGCTCCAGCTTGTGGAATTGAAATTCCAACAGAAAACTTAGAGGGTGAAATTTCTACTAAAGATGAAATTTGGGAGCACTTGATGGGCAATAAAGTTGGAATGATTGGGGTTTGTGGTATTGGTGGCGTTGGTAAGACTACAATCATGAAGCATGTTAACAATGATTTGTTGACAGGGAGTAGATTCCAGAAAGTGATTTGGGTTACTGTATCATATCCTCTCAATGTTTTTGAATTACAAAAGAAGATTGCTAGTAAAATGAAAGAAACACTTCCAGAAGATGAAGAGGTGATGATGCGAGCAGCAGCACTAATGGAAATAATGAGAAGAGTGAGATTTGTGCTGATATTAGATGATGTATGGGAAAGGTTCTCTCTCAGCGATGTTGGAATTCCGGAACCGACGGTGCAAAATGGGTGCAAAGTAATTATTACTAGTAAGATCGACAGAAGTATGCAGTTATTTAAATTGTAGGATTGTTAAAGTGCAACCTCTTTCACAAGAGGAGTCTCTAACTCTATTCCTCAATAAGGTTGGGCATGATGTTTTACAAATTTCTGGGTTGGAAAAAATCTTGCAGATTATTGTGAAGGAGTGTGCTGGTTTACCACTCGCTATTGTTGTGATAGCAGGGAGCATGAAAGGAGTGGATGATATTAAGGTGTGGAGAAATGCACTGACTGAATTACAAGATTGTGTTAAGAGTGTGAAAGGTTCAGATGATGAGATATTTACACGGTTAAAATTTAGTTTTGATCGTTTGCCTGATGAGAAAATCCAGAATTGTTTTCTTTATTGCTCCTTGTTTCACGAAGATTATTCATATGAAGATTGTTCATTGGACAGGGAGGAATTGATAGAAGGTTGGATTGATGAAGGATTAATGGATGGATTGAGAAGCAGGGAAGCAGCTTATGACAGGGGCCATGCCTTTTTAGATGTTCTTGAAAAGAATAGCTTGTTAGAGAAACATTTCGAGAGGAAAATTAAGATGCATGATGTTGTGAGAGACATGGCTATCAGAAGCATTGGTCTTGGAGTTGGATATATGGTAAAAAGTAAAACTGGTTGGAAATTGACAGAGGTACCAAATGAACATGAGTGGGCCAGAGATCTTAAGAAGGTATCTTTAATGGCAAATGACATTTCAAAAATTCTTGTTGGATTGACTCCAAAGTGTTCGACCTTATCAACTTTGATATTATCGAACAATCCTTTGACAGAGATTCCAGAATCCTTTTTTGAGGATATGAGTGGACTCAAGGTTCTTGATCTTTCTAAAACTGATGTTGAAGCTTTACCTAGTTCCATCTCTAAGCTGAAGTATCTCTCTGCATTGCGGTTAAAGAGGTGCCACAAGTTAAAGTGCTTGCCTTCCTTAGAGAAGCTTGTGGCATTGAAGAAGTTGGATCTGCTATTTGCAGGAATTGAGGTGGTCCCTCAAGGCATGGAGATGTTAGTAAGTCTTGAATATCTTAATTTATCTTGTACACGTTTGAAAGAGATTCCAACAGGAATATTGTCTAAATTATCTAGTCTCCAGTATTTGGTGGTAACAAGTTCTTTGGAAAACTCTGGTGTAAAGATAAACATAGAAGAGGTTGCTAGATTAAGAAAGTTGGAGATTTTAAATTGTATTTGTGATGACATGCAAGACTTTAATCATCTTTTGACTGAGTTTAAAAATTTCAAGAATTTTATTGCTTACGGGCTTGGAGTAGGAAAACAAAGCTATAATAGGCTAATTTTCCAACGTGAACATAAATACAAACTCAGAATTAGGGAGAGTGACATTGGAGAAAAATGTATAGTGCTTCCAGATAAACTTCAGCATTTGCGGATCCATAAATGCAAAAACATCAGAAGTGGCTTCAACAAAACAGCTTTGTTAGAAAATGCAACCGAGTTGGTTGTTTGTGTTATTAGTGATTGTGAAGAGATAGAGTACATGGTTGAGTTGAATTCATCCTCCTCATCATCGTGTAAACCAGTATTTGATAAGCTTGAAAGTCTGTATCTTTGGGGTTTGTCTAGGTTGCGGGCACTCGTGAGAGTGGAAGGAGTAGCAACACCGCTACGCGTCTTTTCCAATTTGAAGAGACTTGAAATAGATGGATGTTCAAGAATGAGGCAGTTGCTTCCACTTGAGCTACTGCAGGCCTTCCAAAACTTAGAGGAGATTCATGTTGAAGGTTGTGAACAAATGGAGAAGATAATAGTCTCATCGGATTCAGATGCATCATCGGATAAATTCAGTTTCATTTTTCCTAAATTAAGGAGTTTGTGGTTGTGGAGGTTACCCCAATTGAAGAGCATCTGCAGTGCCAAAGGAGTTATGGTTGGCGATTCTATTGAAACAATTTCGATAACGGAATGTCCTGAGTTAGAGTTAAAGAGGATCCCTGTGCAGCTTCCAATGCTTCATAATGGTCAACCATCTCCTCCTCCTCATCTCAGAGGAATTTGGATAGATAGACCCAAATGGTGGGAATCATTGGAGTGGGATCATCCTAACGCTAAGAACATACTCCAACCTTTCTTGAAATAAATTAATTATTGAATGGTTAGTATTTAATCTAATTTGAATTTAATTGTTTAGTTGCTTAAAATTTTTGTCATCTCAGCTGCAAGGGCAGTCCTTGAGAATATTCAATTTTGTTCAGATGACTGTAGAGTAGCAGATGTGTGTAAATAATAAGTCACGTGCAACAACAATAACACGTGGTAGTAGAAGCTTTTGCCCTACAACACACGATAGGAAAAATGATGTAAGGAAGGAGGTCTTCTGGAAGAGAGGAGATTGAGATGCAACCACCCTCTGCACTCATGTCTTAAAACGCCAATTATGTAAGTTGTGATTTCGCTATTCTTCGATTTTTTTGAATTTTGGTGTTTTCGAGTACGTAATTTCACTATTTTATTCTCTCTTGGCTTTTGGGTATGTGCTGCAAAAATTGAGTCCCTTTTGATCGCTGAGTAAAATAGCTTCAACAAAGCATCATGTTAACAAAATGAGAATTGAGTTTATCATCTTCAAAATTTAGGAAAAGATGATCAACTAATAAAATCGGGGTTTGAACATTAATATATATTATTTATTTATTTATTTATTTTTTGTATATTTATGATATACTGAGATTTCTCAACATCTTGCAAACTAGCTTGATACTATGGAATCAAACTGCATCAGTCACTATGTCTTCAATTCCTATAGTTTTTCTTAGGATCGATTTGTTGGTCTCTTGTTTCCAGATTCTGACATATTTTAAAGCTCTGATATTGCATTTAGGATCTTTTATCAAGCAAAGGCAACTTCTCTTGGTGGGGCAGCAAAGCAAAAGAAAAATGAGACTCAGCCAGGGCCAATACTCCTTGACATGGTTGACAATAATCTTGTTTTTGTTTCAATTTATGTGTCTTTTATTTA